GATTTATGTGTTTTTCGGCTAATTTGAATTATATTTCAAGACAATAAACATCTAATCAAATATTAGCACCACACGCTATAGTTTGGTTGGAGGCCTGTTTCTCATTCTCTTACTTTAACTTCCTTTAAAGACTTTTTTGTTCATAAATCTGAATCTCTTTTCAATCCAAAACCCAACAGACTTAACTTTTATATAGAGGTACATTTTATTCCCTCACCTGTCAGCCTTAAAGCCTTTTATTTAAGCCTAAAAACACAGGCTAACGCTAGCATTTGGTTGCCCTGATCGTTACATTTTTCAGATTTCCATTGAATTGTTGATGAAAGAGTTGAATCAGTATTTTTACCATAAAAATATAAAGTCAGGGGACAGGATTTATGTGTTTTTCGGCTAATTTGAATTATATTTCAAGACAATAACCATCAAATCAAATATTAGCAACACGCTATAGTTTTGTTGGAGGCCTGTTTCTCATTCTGTTCCTTCAACTTACTTTAAAGACGCTTTTTTATTTATAAATCTGAATCTCTTTTCAATCCAAAACCCAACAGACTAAACTTTTATATAAAGCTACATTTATTCGCTCACCTGTCGGCCTTAAAGCCTTTTATTTAAGCTTAAAAACACAGGCTAACGCTAGCATTTGGTTGCCCTGATCGTAAAATTGTTGAGATTTCCATCGAATTGTAGATTAATCAGTATTTTTACCATAAAAATATAAAGTCAGGGGACAGGATTTAAGTGTTTTTCGGCTAATTTTTATTATATTTCAAGACAATAACCATCAAATCAAATATTAGCAACACGCTATAGTTTTGTTGGAGGCCTGTTTCTCATTCTGTTCCTTCAATTTACTTTAAAGACTATTTTTTATTTATAAATCTGAATCTCTTTTCAATCCAAAACCCAACAGACTAAACTTTTATATAAAGCTACATTTATTCGCTCACCTGTGAGCCTTAAAGCCTTTTTATTTAAGCTTAAAAACACAGGCTAACGCTAGCATTGAATTGAAACGTAAAATTGTTCAAATTTCCAGCGACTTATAGATGCAGGAACTGAATCAGTATTTTTATTTTTTAAAAAGCCATAAAAAGGTAAAGTCAAGGGACAGGATGTATGTGTTTCGGCTAATTTGAATTATATTTCAAGACAATAAACATCGAATCAAATATTAGCACCACACGCTATAGTTTGGTTGGAGGCCTGCTTCTCATTCTGTTCTTTCAACTTCCTTTAAAGACTCTTTTTTGTTTATAAATCTGAATCCAAAACCCAACAGACTTAACTTTTATATAAAGCTACATTTATTCGCTCACCTGTCAGCCTTAAAGCCTTTTTATTTAAGCTTAAAAACACAGGCTAACGCTAGCATTTGGCTGCCCTTATCGTAAAATTATTCAGATTTCCATCGAATTGTAGATCAATCAATATTTTTACCAAAAAAAGGTAAAGTCAGGGAACAGGATTTATGTCCTCTTTGGCTAATTTTTCTTATATTTCAAAACAATAAACATCTAATAAAAAATTAGCACCACACTCAATAGTTTTGTGGAGTCCTGTTTCTCTTTCTGTTGCTTCAACTTCCTTTAGAGACTCTTTTTTACGGTTTAAACTGAGGATTTTAGATAAATCTGAATCTTTTTCCAATCCAAAATCCATCATTGCTTGTAAAGACTAAACTTCTATAGAGGTGCCTTTTATATATTCCTTTTATACCCTCACCTCACCTGTCACCACTTATTTTTGTTATAGAAGTTATATAAGTTAAACATTTTTGAAATACCATAACTTATTTCTTCGGATTTGTGTATTTTAAAGTAAAAGTTTTTATATATTTCTCAGGAAATTAGCTTCTCTGGTGGGGATAACTCCCACATTCAAACATTTTCTGCTGTTAAACTCTGTTTATGTCCCATTTTCTCTTCTTTTTTTAGGTTTGGAGCAGAGCGATGTGACGGTGGTGGCTGTTTCCATGGTTGCGGGGGTCAGTGGGGCTGTTTGCCTCATTCTGGGGGCTTTCGTCTTCTACCAAAAGTACAAATCTAAATCTGCTTCCAAAAAGATGAGCTGGTTCACTCAGGAGTGACTGAAGGTCCATTTTTTGTGTTAAAATCACACCGGGTGAAACCAAAGCGTCTGAAAGCCTGAAGTCATTAAAAAAATAAGCTGTATGACATCACAAATAGACAGAAATGGTGAAACTCTGGGAGATTAACGAGTGTTTATGTAATATCTTTGTTGTATTTAGCTCTAAATAAGGGGTGTGAAACTCAAAAACACAGTGGGCCAAAATTTAAAACCTGAACAAAAATGAAACAAATGAACCTTTTAATATGGAACCAAACTAATTTTGCTTAAACATTGAATATGGAACAAGCAACTCTTATGACATTATATATAACTTAATAGTGGAGACATGCAAATCTCCTAATCATTTGGTACTCTAAATATATTGGTACTTTAAATATAATTCCAGAGTTTGACACCCCTGGTTTAGAGGTTGACTTTATATGCTGTTTGTATCGTTTTAATAAGCTTATTGGTATAATTCTGGGTTATTAAACTGTTGACGGGGATTTTATACGTTAACGCAGGGTAACATTTGGGGTGTGGTTTTACACTTTTATAACAAATTAAAGCTTCAGAAGTTTTCATATTTCTTTCTAATAAATTAGTTTGACAACACTTTGGATTCATCGTCATTTTTCACACAGTTTTAATTCGGGCTTCTCAATCAGTAAAATCTAACAAAGCTCATAGTAAACACTTAAGTATTTCTCTTTAATTTAAACCCTATATATCTTGGTCTGAAATTAAATTCTAAGCTCAGAATTCATTCGTCTGCTTACTTTTTAGTTTTTTATTTTAGGGTTTTGCTTCCATTGTGTTGGTTTGGAGTAAAAACTGATCAGATTCCCCTGAAATGATCAATTTAAACTTCTAAAAAGAAAGAAAAAGTTTTGTT